GTGGACAGGTAAACCTGGCACGTTTATCCTACCATTTGTACGATTAATAGAAAGAAACAAAAGACGATTGTAATTAACATTAGCACGTGAAATTCGAGTAACTAATATTTAATCTGTATTATAATTTCTCCCCAAGAAACAATCGTCATTCCTAATCTTTGAACTGAATAGCAGAGAGGATTGAAACGAATCGGGTTTGAAAAGAGGCCCTCGCGGTTAGGTTTCTAACGTTCGAATTTTTCCCCGAGTGATTTCACTCGGGGGGATAAAGTGTTTGAGAAGCTAGAAGGACGCGAGCGGCTCTCGAGAGTCGGATTCCCTTTTAAGAACAACGCTAACGATCAGCGAGGAATTTTGTTTTGAATAAGGAATTGAAGTGACGCTAACTAGGCTCGATGAAGGCTCTCGATGAGCTAGCGAGCCGTAAAATCCGACGGATGAATGCTACCTTGAGACTTCGTATAACAGCGAGAAGAATTAGATGAAATTGCAGTTGATCGATTAACTCTAGCGCGGTCCTCGGGTCACTTTTGACCCATCCTCTTTCTAGTTCTTTATTTTTTTTTAAATCACCTTTGCTCTTGATAAATTTCGAGATAAGGTCTGTCGGTCTTTTTTCATCTAGAGAATTTAACCCTTTAACCTCTTCAGGGACACCGACACATACATATGTGTACCTTTAGATTTTCCGAAAATTCCAATATTTGCGATAGAGAAAATATGAAAAACACAAGTAAGGAAAGTAGTTTAATTGCTATCGATTTAACATGAATATAAATGTGCAACTACGTAAAAAATTGGATCAATATTTTCTAACTTTAAGAAAATCGTCCCTGAAGAGGTTAACTCTCGAGCTTGTGTCTTACAAATAGTTGTCATTTTTATTTTACATTTATTACGCTTGTAGTAATTTTACTCTATTGTTAATTACGTTTCATTATTTTCTCTCGCTTTTCATATCGCGCTGTCTTTTCTATTCTATGGCAAAAAATGCAAGTCACGGGGTTCGAAGCACGCTGAAACTTAAATGGCAAACTTGTACCTATACACCTAGAAAATAATAAAAAATCAAATTGAGAAAAATATGAGCGTTAAAAGGGTTAAATTTATAGTCGAGCGGGAGAACGCGCTAGAGTTAAATAACAGAGTAGAGATCAAGTAAGAAATTAGTGATAATAAAAAATATTACTCTGATCATAAATTGCAAGAAAAGTTCCCAAAGAAAACGAGGTGAAATTGACTTGAAACTTCTCCGCTAGCAATTTTCACGATATCAAAAGCATTGAAAAGGTTCGTTGACCCCGCTCCTGCACAGTTTAAACGATTAAGTCAAACTGCACCCCACGTGCTTCTCACTTTATCTCTCCGATCTATAGCAAACGAAAAATTGTTTTTTTTTTCAAACACACACACACACACACACAAAGAATCTGATCGCTCTTCGAAGGATTCTCAAAGTATGTTTGTTGTTGGCATGGACGGTGAACGCAGGACGGAAAAGGAAAGAGCGCAAACTCCACCGTTTAATCCGGATTCGAAGGACTGCGGAATTCTGAGCTGTAGGCCGGCTTTTATACAGAGATTCGCCGGAATAAAGGTTCGTAAAACTTCTTTCCGTTTGCCGTAGGTATCCGGCTTGTGTCATGATTTATTTAAACCGAGATCGGTAGTCGATTTAGCCGCGTGTTTGTTATACGGATGTACAAACCGGGCATCGTGAGTCACCGTCCGAAAGGATACGACATTGAAATGCTGCTGACATTCCGTGAAAGGTTTTAAGTCATCGCAAGGAAACTTAACGTAGCAACGTCATCGGCGATCTTTTTACTCCACCGAGAGTTTCGGTATTTGTCGATTTGTTCGTTGCTTTTTTCAAGTGGTTCGACCATAGAGCTGCGTTTGCTATAAGTTGGGACCTTGGTGTTTATGCAGCCACATTTGAAAATCTTCCTGTTTAAACGGTAGTTGCGGTTGCAAAGTGAAATACTTACTTTTGAATATTAAATTTGTGAATTTGATTATCTGAATAATTAGGCTTGCTCTTTTGGGGTCTTGGAAGGTTTTAGAGCTTCTCATCCCACAATTTTCATTTTCGCAAGATCGTTATATCGTCGCTGCAGAATTTTCTTCGGTTTTCATTCAAATGTTTTTCCCCTTGCAAAGGAGATTAGGTAATTCCTGAGGGAATGATCAAGCAAACTCTCGATTTACCGAAAAATTCCTCAACCTTGATTCATCGTTGCAAAGAAAATGAGGCAGATATTTTTATAACTGGAGCACGAATAATATACAGGCTGAACCAGAAATTGTTTTCGTCGTAGACGATTTCAAAGGACCTTCCGTACCTGTATCCTTGTTCGAATAATTTTTCAAGATCACCTTCACTTTTTTCACGCACAACCTATCGTTACAAACGACTAAATTGTGTGCGAAATATGGAGATGTGAAGTGAGTTATGCCACGTCTCGCTGGCAAAACGAATACAAAGACCAATTGTTTTTAGATCGCATAAACTTCCTTTTAAGCAAACTTTCAGGTGCAACGTTCGAAATGTTGATCGTTGGCATCGGCACAATGTTGTAACCTTGCTGCTGCTTCTGCGATAGAAAAGAGAAGCAGGCATTATAAATAATTGATAAACGAATTCCCCTGACATTCTCGACTACGACTGATTGGCACACACACCTAACATTACCGTGCTTATTTTCTCATGTCACTTTTCAGGATGCTCCTAGTAATATCCGTACGCGAGACATTCAAGAGCAGGTGAATATTATCGTACTCCTTGTAACTGTCCTTCTAGGAGCATGATTGACCTCGCGCTGTAGGTCTCTGAATTTGTGTTAAGGTCTGTTATCATCAGATGAATGAAATAAGGAGAATGAGCTTCGCTGCTCTTAAGGTACTCCGCCCATTTTGAAGAATCGTTTTACGAGCGCATAGTGGTCTCTTTCACTCGAAAAGTTGGTTCTCTACTTTTGTGCTTCCGGAGATATTCAAGGTGATAGCTCTTATTGGTCCACCTTGTATAATAATGCTACGAAAAAATTAAATTTTCACTACTAACTTTGGTTTTTATTATAGTAACAGTAGTGATTTAATATGGCGATTAGTGTAATTAATAATATTAATCGGTACGATTTGATATTGTCGAAATATTTTTCTCTCACTTTCATGGCTCCCGAGAAATTCGAGATGGCAATTTTTCTTGGTCCACTCTCTATAATAATGCTATAAAAAATTGAAGGGATTTTCTAATAGCACTGATTACGTTAGCATTACTAACGTTGGATTTTATTATAATAAAACAGCGATTTAACGAAGTGATCAGTATAATTAATAATATTAATTGCTAAGTTATGGTTTAGTAATTAAAAACTTTCGTGGCTCCGGAGAAATTCAAGGTGGCAATTTTTTTCGTCCATTCTGCAGAGTGATACTATAAAAAAATTAAGAAGATTTTCTAAAAGCATTGCTAACGTTGGTTTTCATTATAATAATAGCAGATTTAACGGAATGACCAATATAATCAGTCATATGAATAGACTTTTCCTAAAATTTCACATTTGAATACCAAAGATTTCATGTTCGTCCTATTGTAATGGTAATAACGAAAGAAATACGCTTAATAGTAGTAAAGAATTGTTGTCAACAGGTAGTACTCTTTTGAAATACGTGAAAGTACACTTTGCTCTATTGAAATATCACTTCGTTGCTTCGCCAGCGGTACAGTTATAGCCTGGACCGAAGATTCTGCTCGTTCAAGGCCACTTCACCCCCACCACAAATTACGTCAAGCATGGCTTCTGCTTTTACAATTCTGGCAGATACCTTTAGCTTCCTGTTAGGCCACGTTACATGTCCCAGTTCCATATTTAATTCCATCTTCTCTATTCAGAATTTTATCTCGTTAGAGTATTACTTTGCCTTTGAAATTTTTAGAAAGTATGCTAAAATGTAACGGAGAAAGCTTAGTATTGTCGAAGGGCCGAAACCTTTAAATAAATGAAAAAGATATATTGAAGCGAGATATTAAGTGGATAATGGAAATAATTGAAGCAAGATATTAAGTAAATAATAAAAATAAATAGAAAGTGAAATATTCAAAAAGTTTCTACTTTGCGGAAATTTTATTCTTTGGATATTGCTATATAAATTGCTTTTTTTTTTCTTCTTCTTAATATCGCGAAGACGATACAAACGATGCAAATTAGTCGATGACACAGAGTTAAAAAGTAAATATTTTCAGAAAGAAATACGTGTTTGAGCATTGCACTCGATTGCGTATCTTTTGTTTTCGATTTATTAAACGTAGAACGTCGATTATCAGCGAAACGTTTTATCCTGTTCTCATCATCGTTAATGCAGCGTTTTACCTTCGTTAGTTAAAATGCACTCAAGGGTACAATGGTGGAATCGATAAAGCTTCTGATTATCTAATCGGGTTTTATCGTTCGATTCGATGGCAAGGATACTACTTTTCCTTCGAAACTTTTGGGAACTATTTTCAAATATAACAAACGAAAGCCTTTAAATAAATAAATTCAACGTTGCATTGTAAAAAGGTACTTTTGTTTTGTCCCAGTTAAAAAACTGTTTCTGATAACTAATATTGTGAAATTTTTCTTTTCCAACTAAAAATTCTCATTTTACAAAGAACTGATTAATCTGTAAGTGAAAAGTAGTTTACATACTTGATGATAAATTATTATACATCATTTCAGTCTGTAAAATAATAATATTAATATTTTGTTCGCAATTGCGCCTTATTCTTACAAAATGGAGATTAATTATTTTCAATGGTAATTAAAATACTTTTTAATTGTGTCTGTTATTCTTTAATGATGCATACATCAGTTACAAGGAAATATATTAATATTGATAAATATACAATGTTGATAAACTTATATAAATTGGTCCACTTTTTTATTTATTCTTATGATTTTTTCAACTACTAAAAAATTAGTTAACACTCTTGGTGCCTCTTTATTATTTGCATGCTCCTAAGATATCATTAATACTTAAATATTACTAATACATTAAGCCGTTCGTTGTCCACAAGATACGATCCAAAAATCTCCCAGACATTGAGATTCCAAAATGCATTGGAAAACATGGAACGTTTCACACATGCTGTTAGACACCGCTCACTTTGTCACCTGTATTTTTAATCCGCGTGTGTGCACAAGTGGCTGAAACACAGACATCACGATGCCCGGTAACTACGAATTACCTCGCGTCTTCTTGGAATAGCGTAAAGACAACACAACGAACGTATGAAATTTACACGTGCGGGCACATTCGTCATCGGCCGCCAGCTCAAGGTTTCATTTACACACGTTAACCATGATTTTCTCCTCTCGGTGATTTTTTCCAGGTGTTCGTATTCCTCTTATCATTTCTCGTCACGCTGCAACAAGCACTTAGTTCGGGTTACATAAATTCTGTGATCACAACCATAGAGAAGAGGTTCGAAATCCCGTCCAGCCTTTCAGGCGTCATTGCTAGCTCCTACGAAATTGGAAATGTCATCACTGTCATTTTCGTCAGCTATCTCGGCAGTCGGAGACATATACCTGTTTGGATAGCGATTGGTAAGATGATCGATATTAAGAAAAAACAATATCTGTGAACATATTTGTGTTTGTTGATCAAATATTTCCTTTTCATTGCAGGCGCTGTCATAATGGGACTGGGATCGATGATCTTTATGGTGCCACATTTCACAGCCGAGCCCAACTTGATGACGGCTGCGAACAACTCTAGCTCCGACAATATTTGTCGTGGCGTTTCGTTGCGCGAACAAGATATGGGACTGGGTAAATGTTTTATGAATTGCAGCACGAAGGGTTCACTTGTATATGGAGCAGCATAAATTTCGTGGATTGCTCGTTAATTACTGGCTGTATAGAAATAAAAGAATATTGCATGTTGTTGTTCACACCAATCATCCTTCCACAAAATGCTTTTTTAATAGATGACTTCAATTTAGAGACACTAGAAAGAAAGAAAATTTTTATATTATTTTATGAGATGTAGTTAGATTCTTTTATTAGAATTAGTGCTATTGCTTGTTCTTCCTTTGTGAAATATGTATTTAAAGAGAATACTAAAAATTCTTAGTGTATAATTTAATTTTTAAAACATATATTTCTTGTTTTTTAAAGTATCATCAGCATTCAAGGAATATTTATCATAAGATGATATTCTGCTTTATTTTTATCCAATTATTGGTTAAACGTTGAAAAAATGTCTAACTTAGAGAAAAGAAATAATTTGGCATTAGAAACTGAGAAGATTCTTTTCGCAGGTCGTTTGTCGTCTGGTTTGTCGTCACCGCCTCTGGCACCACACAATAATTTAAGAGGTGATAATTGCATTCAGGGATCTCCATCTACCGCTGGTCCTGTTATGTTATTTGTACTTGCTCAGTTATTATTAGGCTGTGGTGGTTCACCTTTGTTCACCCTTGGTACTACTTACATAGATGATCACGTGCGACCAGAAAGTGCTTCACTGTATATTGGTAAGAAGGTACACTAGTTTCAAGTGTTTCAGTATAGTAAAAACATGTATGAATTAACGTTACTTATTTATTTTCAGGTTGTATGTATAGCATGGCAGCTTTTGGGCCAGTGTTAGGTTTCCTCCTTGGAGCTTACTTGTTATCATTTCACATGGATTCCTTTTCTGGAACAATTATCAGTATAGGTAATCAGATAGTTCTAAGAAGAATTTATTTGATTAATATGTTATGAGGTATTCTTTACATTGAAATTGGTTGTTAACAGATCCTGGTGATCACAGATGGGTTGGCATGTGGTGGGGTGGATTTCTGCTTTGCGGTTTACTCCTCATTCTAGTGGCAATTCCATTCTTCAGTTTCCCAAAAATACTGCAACGCGAGAAGGAAAAGATACGAATCATTGAGAAAAATAAGTCAGCGTCGCAAAAAGAGAAAGAGCAATGCAAAGAGCCGAAAAAGGAGAAGCTCGATGATAGTGGTTATGGCAAAGATGTAAAAGGTAGACTTTATTTCAATTTTCATCTCAAAAATATGTCCATTTGTTCAAAGAAAGTTTTACTTCTAATATATGTATTACAAATTACTAATTTAGTTAAATATCAATGTATCTTCCTTTCCAGATATCCCCAGAAGTATGTGGAGGTTGGTGTGCAATCCAGTATACGTGGTAACATGTTTAGGTGCTTGCATGGAACTAGTGATCGTATCCGGATTCGTGGTTTTCTTGCCAAAATATCTGGAGACCCAGTTCAGCCTAGGAAAGAGTCAGGCCAGTGTGTTCACTGGTTCTATAGCGATACCAGGTGCCTGTATCGGAATTTTCTTTGGCGGATGTTTGCTGAAACGTTTAGAATTAAGACCGAAGGGCGCGGTTCAGTTCGTTCTCGTCTCGAACATCATATGCCTGGTGTGCTATGGCCTCCTCTTTTTCCTCGGTTGCGACAACGTGAAAATGGCTGGGACCACTATTCCGTACTTTAACAGCAGCACAAAAGGCCCGGAGCCTTTTCAAGTAAATCTCACTGCCGCATGCAACTTTGGTTGCGAATGTCGAATGACAGACGTCGAGCCAGTCTGTGGAAACAACGGTCTCACGTACTTTAGCCCTTGTCATGCAGGTTGCACTGCCTTCAGTTCCAAATCGAATTTCACTAATTGTGCATGTAAGTGTAGAATTATGTTTTCTTTCAAGTAAATTAACTTACGAGAAAACGTTCAATGCTTAATACAGAGTGATACGTACATATGTGAAGTTAACCACTGAATACGTATGCATACCACTGCATTTGTTGTTGATAACAGGTTTAGAATGTGGGTATCTATGTTTTAGGTATACATGGAAATTTAACAATGTTGCCTCCGGCAGCTCCAGAATTCGCAGAAGTGACGGTGGTACCAGTAGCTACTGCTGGTCCATGTACTTCGCCATGTAGGACTATATTTCCTTTCTTAATTTTACTGTTCTTTATGACGTTTATTGTTGCTATCACTCAGATGCCTCTACTAATGATAGTATTACGGTAAGCTATAATTTCCCGCTGCTAACTGTTCATTATTATTGAAATTATATATCATTAAATATGTTGAAATATCTGTTTCGATACAGGTCAGTCTCAGAAGAAGAAAGATCGTTTGCTTTAGGCATGCAATTTGTAATCTTTAGATTGTTTGGTTATATACCTGCGCCTATTTTATTTGGTAACTTAATCGACTCTACATGCTTACTTTGGAAAAGCACATGTGGAGAAAAAGGCGGGCGATGTTTGCTTTATGACATCGAACAATTTCGATACAGGTAGTATAACAGATATATCAGTACGCAATTCTATAGAATGAAATTTAGAACGCTGTTCAAATTTTCTTTATATGCTCGTAGATATGTTGGACTATGCGCTGGCATTAAGATTTTAGCTTTGGCATTGTTCCTCATTGATTGGTGGTTAGTTAGGAGGAGAAGACAGATGGAAGACCAAGCACCGTCTTTCACTGTTAACGAATTCGTGGGGTCAATTATCAGCCTTGATAAACGTAAGCATACCCATTTAAGATTGATATCGTATAAAGATTAAGATACTTTAATGCAAAATTGCGAAAATAGAGAAACAACGTTTCTTAGTCCTTCTCAACACGTAGTTGTAATTTATTTCATTGAAGCTATATTATTTGAGCGCTATGTAAAATAATCGTCGACCAATGTAATTGAAAATGCTGCTCTTCGTCTTCCTGAAAAAATGATGAATCTGAGGACGAAGAATTTCCAAGCACACATTCCTATGTTTCATATTTCACTCGTAATGTTCAAGTGTTCGAAGAAAAACCGCATCATCACAACATAGGAGAAGGTAACGGTACTTCTCCAAATTCCGAATTGCCCACGCCGTCTTCAATTTCGTCGCCTACAGAGCCTACGAAGTCGACGAACCTGGAAGATACTGGCTCATCGAATCAGACACAGGATTCGACGGAAACAGGGAATCGTTCGAAGAACGCGATGGACGTTGAAGTTCCCGATACAAGGCAAGCACCTCTTGCCATGGAAGAGCCGGACACGGAAGTTAAACCATTGACCGGTAAATCGGACAAGCATGTACGGAACGTTTAATGTTTATCTCGTGTTAGAGGCTATGCAATTGAGTTATATCAAAGTGGTGATAATGTGAGTCTGTGGCAAATTGTTTTGAGGTCGCAGGTAAACTAACACAATACATATATACATATATATAGAAAGAGGTACAACGTACGTGCATTATTGATTTGTGCAATCCTAACAAAAAAAAAAAGAAGAAAAGCAGTTAATAGGGGGTGGGAGGGGAGTAGGGGTGTTGTCAATGACTTTGAATAAAAGAGGGAAGGGGCAATCCGTATACATGCATATATGGTGCTAATAAACTTTTTTAAAGAGATTAAAAGACAAAGAATTATCTTATATCGTTCCGTATATCGTCAGATACAAATTTAGATTGTGTTGAAGATATAAGTGAATCTTATACACACACTATATATTCTTGCATACAGGTGAGTCGAAAATATTTTTACAATGGTTATATTTGCGTGAAGAATATCGTTTATCGTACGAAATGATTTGCCACAGGTTTGTCTCGACGGTTTGGCTATTTTTAGGAACTAATATCACTAGGATGTACATTTTTACGGCGATGCGATATATATGTCAATAAATAGGAATGTAATAGGTTGAAAAAAAAAGTAAAAAGAAAAATGTTCAGGCCCGTTTCAGACAGACACCTTTGTAACTTGATCTGAAGGATTCCCTCTCTGTCTGAAACGAGTTTTTTACCGATGAAAAACGAGCCTTGCGCAGTTTAACAAGAATGGAAGGGGTAAAAATAGGAAAAGAAAGGAAGGCCAACAAGGACAAAACTGTAAATATAAAAATTCCTGCCTTAAGAAATACAAGACTAGACAGACGTATATTTAAAGATAATTAATTAAGTGATAGAGTTAACGTTCTATAATGAATAAAATCATTATAATTGCAGATTGAGAGCTGCGATTTATTTTATAACTAGTGGTTAGGCTTTCTCAGAAGTAAAAAAAAAAAAGTAGTCAATTTAACGTAGTGATTTAAAGGAAAAAAAAAAGTACGCAAAAAGCAAACGGACGAAGATCAATAGCGTTGTCTCGTTTACGAACTTATTTTAACACTTCGCAATAGCATACGTTTTATTCCTTCTTTTTCTTTTTTCCCCACTAAAACCAAACTATATTATTGGTGGAAGAATCACGCTTTTAATGAAGCGGCACATTGATCTCTGATGTTTTTTCTTCTAAATATTATTATTGTATCAGCGACACACTATTTTAAGAGCTTTCAGAAAGAACGTTAGCATTATTAAAGAAAAAAAAGAAAAAAGAAAACAAACAAAAGCGTTCGAGCGATTGTGTTTTCGTCGTAATGGGTGCGTTACTTCGTATCCTATTCTGTAAAATCAATTGTCAAATGAATTATGCTTCCAAGCAACGAAAAAGGAAAACAGAATGCTGGTGAAATATGAAATCGAGGATTAATTGGAATTAAATCTTACACTTTGAGATTCGTCCCGGACAAGTTCTGGCTTATTATACACCGTTTAGCTCACTCGTTGTTAGGGGGAAGTCTACTTGTTGTTTTGTACCTGAAAGCCTCTCGTATCTAATTTCCGTGTGACAAAATATTAAGAGAAAGAGAAGAAGAGAGAAAGAACTATATGAAAACTTACTCAGGAAAAGAAATTTTATAAGGCGTTAAGAGCACCTTTAATTCAATCGATATGAAAGATAATGAAAACACGGAAATATAAATATGTATCAGTGCAAAATGAACGAAATCCTAGCCTAAGAAACGAAAGCAGGAGCGAAAACAAAGATAATTAAGAAAATTTTACAAAATAACGTTTTAAGAAATGATGATAATGATGATGTTATATAAGAAACAACAACAACTCCGTTTGCACGAATCGACGATGATTTGAAAACCGTTTTTCTCTATCGCTTCGGGTACGAAACCGTTCTACAAATGCTTCTATGAAATTAAATTAAAAAAAAAAAAAGGAACATGGACAGATATAGCGTTAATTTTACACCGTCTCGAAATGAATAAGAAACTATTATGCTGACGTCGTCACAGCATTTACTTATGTTAAAACAAAAAACACTTACCTAGGTACGATATATCTCGCACGCTGTTTGGCCCGTCACTGTCAATTTTTCGAAGCGTAGTCACACGCTACCTATATATGTACATATATTTATTATATTTTAGAGGCAATTTTAATGTTTGCGAACCGTTGACCGTCCGTAAAGTCGATCGTTCGAGAAGTTCTCGAGACCCTGGTGATCTCTCTCCTAACTATGATTAATTATTGCGAAGCACTTACGTATAACTATACCTACTTTGTGATATGAATCTCTTTGTCGAACGATTGACTTTGACGGACGGGCCTCTCGTTTACATGAGAATTAAGCAAAAAGGGAAAAAAGTGCTGTGAATAGAAAGAAAACAAACGACGGAGAAGAAGAAGAGGAAGAAGAAGAAGATGATGATGATGAGGAGGAAAAAAGACGATGAAGAAGAAGAAATAAGAGTATAGACAGACGGAATTTAAAAAAAAAAGGATAACTACACACGTCGAATCAAATTCAATTCAATTTATGCGAAGCTTCGTCAGAGGTGAAAAATCCGAGATTGCAGAATAAAGAATTAGTAATTGCATTCACCGAGACGCTGCAACACATGTACATAGAGGATATATAATAGTTAGAGCGATTTATAACGAACAATCGAGAAGAAAAAGAAAAACACGTGATTACACGTATTATAATTATAAATATATATATA